GGCAGTGACGAGGCAGTCATGTGTTTGGGTTTACAACCAATGAGAAGGCAGAACAGAAAGACTATATTAAAGACAAACACACAGGAAGTAGCTCTCTTTCGGAGAGGTAGGAGCACCGCAGGAGCAAGGGTAAGGTTTTAGCTCTGAGCTCTGACCTCTTGGCTTTCTCTTTTACATTGGTTCTGTGTTTATTTAATAAGACAGTTGGTTACACCTACAGCAGGTGACACTGTCTGATTACAAGAGCTTTAAAGAAGAATAAAAAAGAAAAAAACTGTAACATGGAAATAGTACTGAAGATGTCTGAAGATTACCTCTATATCTGAGGGTATGATTTCTATTTTAAAAGTTAATGAAGGAAAAACATTTAATGGAGAAAGTTTTGGAAGTATATGTATGCATCAGTCTAAATAGTGAGTAGTTAAAAGAAGTTGAGAGTGTGATTGGTCACATTATATTTTTATTCCATATACTCATTAAATATGAGTATATTTTATTTGTGCAACATTCATAATTTTTAAAAGATTCTGTCCATTGGAGATAAGACCAAATTTTGAAGGATCACAGAAACTCAAACCCTTCTAGATTTTTTTAAAAAAAAGATTTATTTTATTTATGCATATGAGTGTTTTGCCTGTATGTATGTATGTGTACAACATGTATTCCTGGTACCCATGGAAGTCAGCAGAGGGCTTTGGATTCCCTAGAACTAGAGTTACAGATGGTTGTGAGCTGCCATGTGAGTGCTGAGAGCTAAACCTAGCTCCTCTGCAAGAATAACAAGTGCTCTTAACTACTGAGCATCTCTCCAGACTTGAAACTTCTCTTTTTCTAAAGCAATCTCTTATTTTCCCTTGACTTACCAACAAAGTGTCTCCAACTTCCCCATAAAGTAAAGGTCCCAAGATTCCTGATTCATGCTGGATAGTTTCACGAGTCTTAAAAGTTTCATCTGTGTATGCTATAAATCTGACTTTTTTGTATTTTCTACCAATCCGATGAGGACCATTGCTCAGATACTGGCTTTTATAATTTCTGTATGAGAGGCAAAAAGGTGAAGTGTAAGGATAAAAAATTTTAGATAGTCAAAAATCCAATTCTAATATGATTTCCTCAAAGCAAAGAGTGAGAGAAGTATAAGTAGTCTTAGGCTTACCTATGCTAACATCTAATGTTCTATGAATCTTCACAGATTGCACATGTACTAAAGACTTAGTCATCAGGATATGGAATTAGTGAGAGGTGATGGAACCTTTAGGAGTTAGAGCCTAGCGACAAGGTCATTGGGGGTATGCCCTTGAATGGATGATATTGGAACCTCAGGCCCCGTTTATCTATTCTTTGTTCTATATATGGAACAGGCCCCTTGCACTGTGCACTTTTATTATGAATTTCTGCACTGTCACAAACCCAAAGCCGTAGTCAAGCAACCATGGACTGAAAATTCTATGAGTCAAACCCATGAGTCAAAACAAACCTTTCCCACGTAAAAGTTGTTAATTTCGGTATTTTGCCACAGTGATGGAATGGTAGCTAGCAAACACCCTTACCATTTGATCCTATGACATATTAACTCTTAAATATGGCTTAAGTATTTGTTGGTTTGAATAAGTAAGAAGAATTTGAGCATAGGGGAGGGTAGTACCAAGAGTCCAAAGGTGTTTACCCATCATTAGAGATGAGAACTGAAGGAGCATAGTCCCAGTCTTCTTCCTCAGCAGAAATATAATGTATCCAAGTTTTAGGGTACTTCTTGGCAACCGAGCGAATTTGGATAAAAGGAGAATTATCATCATCCAGTATGAACATGTCCATTTCTGAATCAAGATCATCATCATAATCTTCCATTTCCTCATTATTTTTCTTTTGCCATTGGGGTTCCTCAGGGCAGCTATCTACTTTGACATAAGCTTCCATGCCATCTGCAGTCAGACAACCCAAACAATGTCAGAAGATTGCTTCTCTCCTTCCTCCCTCTCTCTCTTCCTCTCTCTCTTTTGCCCCTCTGCCATGTGTATCATTTTCCTTTACTGTAACACAGAAAGAAAGCACCTATCAAATGACAATATCTTGATATTGTGTTTCCTGGTCTCTTGAACTGTGTGAGATAATAACTTTGTTTATTATAAATTACCCTATTTCTGATATTCTGTTCTGGCAATATAATAGGCCAAGCCTTAAATGGACATAACTAAGACAGAGTTATTAGGTTGGTTAGGTTGAAAAAGAATATACAAGAAGAAAATGGAAGTAAAAGGATTATCTGATATGAATCTGCACAACTACTACCCAAAACATCATGTGACCAGGAATTGATACTGTAGGCACATTTGTTCACAGGATCTTTGCTCCTTTGCAAAACCTCCATCAAAATAGTCCTTGAAAACATCATGTGACACCTCATTTCCCTATATTTCTCATGAAAACATCTCTTCCCAGATTACTGAAGCCTAGTTAATGGAGTCAGGCTGAGAAACCAATAACATACTCTCCATTTTTCCCATCTCATTCATTCCTAAACTATGTCTCCTCCTTCTGTCACAGATATTTAACTAAAAGCCCACAATACTATTGTACTAACAATAAAGTCCTTATATACTCAAGATAAAAATCTTAACATTAGAAGATTTCAGTTGAAGTCTAACATAATCTTAAACTCTATAACAGCATTTCTGCAACACATTGTATTGTACACTGCCCAGGAAATCTCATTAATATTAGAATAAAATATTTTATAATATTCATTTTTAATATCCAAAATAGTAGTACCATGCTTATGGGAAGAGATATGACAAAATAGCAGGAACTGTCCAAGATCTATCAAGAGTATTTGAGCAGTAAGGAAAGTTATTGGTGATATTTCCAAGGAAGCCTGACGGTGGTTCCTCACGAGAAACGTGTGACCTTCGAGGAATATTGAGTGTACTTCAGGGGTAGTGCCCATTCCAATCACATGCCAGTAGACTGATTTCCTATGGCATCCAATTAGACCTGTAAAATGGGAATGAGACAGCTATGGCAAAGAAATAGGGAACTTGAAACTGAAAGTACTTGCTAGAGTAGGATAGACAAAATGACCCTACAAATTTTACTGCTACCTTAACTTATAAACAAAGTTGCCATGTGGAATGAGTTAGTTTATTTTCAGGACCAAACATTTGTTCATAATAACAAATGAATGTCAAAGAATAGTTTCCATGAATAAAGGTGTTTTTTGCTAAAAACAAAACAAAACAACAACAACAAAACAAAGTTGCCAAGGAAGTTAGTTAGGGCACTACTAAACCAACAGCTTTAGTACATATTCAGTGGTTGCTAGAGTCTTCCATAGCTGATAATATTTTCTATTATTCCCCAAAGCTGATTCATCATTTGGCTCTAAATTCTAGCTTGAAAATAATCTTTCCCTTAGATCTCTTTTAAAGATACTATCCTACTCTATTGTCCATCTAATTCCTCTTCTTTTATATATGAACAACTTCTTCCAGGAAAAGCTTCAAGCATCTTATCATTGCACTCCAAATTGTCACAATGATCATTTTGTGTGGAGTTCTGTTTTTGTTTATACTAATAGTGATTTTAATTCTGAATACTAATATCTTTTATTCATTAACATTTCTGTTTTAATTGTTTTTTAAAGTCAGTTTAAAATGTATTCTCTTTTTTGATTTTACTTTATTGGAGATTTTTGTCTATCTACTTGCCATTGTTTGTATTTTGACAATCGTATTTCTAATTTTATGAACACCTACTTGTTCAATTTTTTTTCTCCTTTGGAATTATTTTATTATCTTTGCATATTGCTTTCATGTTTCTAGTTCCTCTTAAATATCTGTTCATCCTGAAAGTCCATTCATTTAAGCAAAAGGAAAGGGCCTTAATTTTTGAGTGACATAAAGAGGATTCAGTTGCTATATTTAAACAAACAAACAAAACAGAGGCTAGAATTTAGTGGGCTTTTTACTTGGATGCAGAACTCTCTGAGAGCTGGAGAAGAGTTATGGTTTTGCTACCCCAATCCCTATGCCCTAAGCCCCAGAGCACATTCTGTGCTCCTTTCCCTCCCACCTCAGCCCCAGCAGCCAGCAGGTAAGAATCCTGTGGGCAGGCCACACCACCACCACTGCCACCCACTGTACTCTGTAACCAAAGACCGACTCTGTTGCCAAAACCCACCGAACTCATCATACTACTCCTGGCCAACCACCCCCCACAAAATCATCAGCCCACACAAGCACCACCTCCACCATTTGGAAGAGGAGCCCTTAGAGGCACAAGCACCACCTGCACCAAGTGGAAGAAGAGCAGCCTCCCTGTGAACAGCCCTCTCCAGCAACATCAGCAGATCCTACAGGCACAGGCACCACCCACACCAGCTGGAAGAACAGGCACAGGCAAAACCCACACCAGCTGGAAGAACAGACCCCATAGGCACAAGTAATGCCCTCACCAGCCAGAAGAACTGGTCAATATGCTAGATCTAGGCACCCAATCCCCCACAAACCTCAGCTGAGACAACCCTATTCAACCTGAATACCAGCCAATCACCAGAACCCTTGGCCATTCAGGCCAAAAGACAATAAAGGAAACAGACAATAAAGGACCCAAAGACCCATCCAACAAAGATACCACAAGAATCAACACCTACTCATATAATTATCCTAAACCCAGATGGCAGTGTAAGTATACATTTAACAACATAAAGAGTAATATGGCACCATTAGGATCTAATAATTCTGCAACAACAAGACCTGAATATCCTAATGCAGATGAAGCAGAATAAAACAAGCTTAAAAACAACTTTATGAAAATGACAGAGGCTGTTATAGAGGAAATGAAGAATTCTCTTAAAGAAATCAAGGAAAAGACAAAAAAGTTGAAGAAATCAATAAATCCCTTTAAGAAAAACAAACAAACAAACAAAAAACAATCAAACAGGTGAATGAAACAGTTCAAGACTTGAAAATTGAAATAGAGGCAATAAAGAAAATACAAACCAAGGGAATTCTGGAAATGGAAAATCTGGGTAAATGAACAGGAAATATAGATGTGAACATAACCAACAGAATACAAGAGATGGAAGAGAGACTTTCAGGCATTGAAAACATGATAGAAGAAAGAGATTCATTGGTTAAAGAAAATATTAAATCCAGCAAATTCTTAACACAAAATATCCAGGAAATCTGAGACACAATGAAAAGACCAAACCTAAGAATAATAGGGATAGAAGAAGAAGAACTCCAGCTCAAAGGCACAGGAAATATATTCAACAAAATCATAGAAGAAAACTTTCCCAACCTAAAGAAGAAAATACCTATGGGGATACAAGAAGATTACAGAACACCGAAAGACTGGACCAAAAAACAAAACAAAACAAAACAACAACAAAAAAAACAAGTCCCCTTGATGCATAATAATCAAACCACTAAACATACAGAATAAAGAAAAAAATATTAAGAGCTGCAAAAGAAAAAGGCCAAGTAACATATAAAGGCAGAGCCATCAGAATAACACCTGACTTCTCAATGGAGACTCTGAAAGCCAGAAGAAGGTACTGGACAGATATTAAGAGACTATGGATGCCAGCCCAGACTACTATACCCAGCAAAACTTTCAATCACCATAGACAGAGAAAACAAGATATTCCATGACAAAACCAGATTTAAGCCACACCTATCCACAAATCCAGCCCTACAGAAAGTACTGGAAGGAAAACTCCAACCCAAGGAAGTTAGCTGCATCCACTAAAACACAGGCATAGATAATCTCACATCAGCAAATTCCAAAGAAGGGAAACACACACTACCAACAACAACAACATAAAAAAAATAACAGGAATTAACAATCACTGGTCATTAAAATCTCTTAATATCAATGCACTCCATTCGCCTATAAAAAGACATAGGCTAACAGAATAGATAAGAAAACGGGATCCTGGGATGGGGATTTAGCTCAGTGGCAGAGCGCCTACCTAGCAAGCACAAGTCCTGGGTTCAGTTCTCAGCTCCAGAAAAGAAAACACGATCCATCCTTCTGCTGCATACAAGAAACAGACTTCAATTTCAAAGACAGACATTACCTCAGAGTAAAGGGTTGGGAAAAGATATTTCAATCAAATAGACCTAAAAAACAAGCTTGTATAGCTATCCTAATATCTAAAAAAAATAGACTAAAATTAAAATTAATCAAAGGAGATGGAGAAGGACATTTTACATTCATCACATGAAAAAAAATCATCAAGATGAAGTCTTAATTCTGAACATTTATGCCCCAAATACCAGGGCACCCATATTTGTAAAACAAACATTACTAAAGCTTAAATCACACATCTAACCCCACACATTAATACTGGGAGACTTCAACACCCCAGTCTCAACAATGGACAGGTCTGCCAGACAGAAATTTAACAGAGAAATAAGGGAACTAAGAGATGTTATGACTCAAATGGACTTAAAAGACAGGTATAGAACATTTCACCCAAACACAAAAGAATATACCTTCTTCTCAGCACCGCATGGAACCTTCTCTAAAACAGACCACATGCTCAGTCACAAAGCAAATCTCAACAGATACAAAAAAAAATTGGAATAACCCCTTTTATCTTATTGGATCACCATGACTTGAACTTAGAATTCAACAACACTAATTATAGAAAGCCTACAAACTCATGGAAACTGCAAAATGTTCAACTGAATCACCACTGGTTCAAGGAAGATAAAGGAAGAAATTAAAGACTTTCTATAATTCAATGAAAATGAATGCACAACATACCCAAACTTACGGGACACTATGAAAGCAGTGCTAAGAGGAAAATTCATAGCACTAAATACCCACATAAAGAAGTTGGAGAAATCTCACACTAGTGACTGAAAATCACACCTGAAAGCTCTAGAACAAAAAGAAGCAAAGTCACCCAGGAGGAATAGACACCAGGAAATAATCAAATTGAGAGCTGAAATCAATAAAATAGAGACAAAGAGAACAATACAAAGAATCAATGAAACAAAGAGTTGGTTATTTGAGTAAATCAACAAGATAGACAAGCCCTTATCCAGACTAACCAAAAAGCAGAGAGAGAACATCCAAATTAACAAAATCAGAAATGAAAAGTGGGACATAACAACAGACAACATGTACATACCTGGCAGAGATCTGTTTACATAGCCATTTATTGTGTGCATTTTAGGCCAGGCTCCATTAGATGTAGAATCCATAGCCTGTGTGAAGGAGTCTTTTGTTTCTGAATGCCAGCTCTTCCCTGGTGAGAGAGGGGGTGGGGGGAAATAAGGCCAACTGAACTGTTTCATGAATTACACTCCCCTTTTTCTTCTTTCTTTTCCTCCTTTGTGACACAGACTATTCACTCTGAATTTTTGTCAGCAGAGTAGGCACAAACTCAGAGTCACTGAGAAGGAAATTACATTTTTTTCAAACCAATTCTTTCTCCCTATATTTGTTCATAATAAAAGTGGGGAAGAACAATGGAAAATGATAACTAGGAGAAGGAAGAATACTGGTTAGTTTGAGCCACAAGAATTTCATTTTGCAAGTTAGATGGTAGATTTAAAAGGATTGTCAGTCCTTGCCCTATCATAAATTGCTTCATCTCATTTTGTAGCAAGGAGACCCCAGGAACTTGAAGGCTTCCCAACCTCCTCTTCAAAACTAACAAAAGCTGAAGCACTGAAACTATTATTTTAGGCAAAAAAAGGGGAAATGTGGTGATATATTGCTTACCCTAATAAACTTTGCCTGAAGATCAGAGAACAGAACAAGCCACTAGATTAAACATAGATGTCCGACAGTGGTGGCATACACCTTTAATCATAGCACTTGGGAGGCAGAGATCCATCTGGATCTCTGTGAGTTCAAAGCCACCCTGGACTACATGAGATTGACTCAGTCTAGGAAAGAAACAGAGCCAGGCAGTGGTGGCCTACACCTTTAATCCAAGTACTTGAGATCTCATGCCTTTGCTTGGGAAGCACACACACCTTTAATCCCAGGGAATGATGGCTGAGTGGAGAAAGGTATATAAGGTATGAGGAGACAAGAACTAGAGGCTCTTTCAGGCTGAGGAGTTGGTGAGGTAAGAGGTGGTGGTTGTGGCCTGCTCTGCTTCTCTGATCTTCAGGTAAATTTTATTAGGGTAAACAATATATCACCACAACTGAAAATTGCTTGGACTACTTTACTAAAAATAGAATGTGAAACACAAAAAGACAGAGACTAGTCAGGATAAAGATGACACAGCCTCAAATAAGAAGATAACAGTGCAAGTGGATAAAAGGGGAGAGGATTATATACCTATTCTGCTACACAATGTTCTAAATTACTTAAGTGAAATCAATTAGTCCCTATAACAATCCTATGAAAAATACTATTATTTCAATTTTAGATGTGAGAAAATAAAGCAGAGAAAGGTAAGTAATTTGCCCAATGTTGAGCACTTAGCAATAGACAATTATTAAAAGAAGTTATTTAGGGGCTAACAAGAATTCTTAGTGGGTAATGGTGCCAGCCACCAAGCTGGCTGACCTGACTGGAACCCACATGGAAAAAGGAAAGAACTGATTTCCACAAGTTGTCCTTTGACCTCCCTATAAGCACCATGGCATGGATACTCCTCCTCTCCCCAAAGTCATATAAATAAATAATTAAAACTTAACAAAAGATTTTAAAAGAAGATATTTAAGAAGTAGAGCCAAAAGTATTTATTACCTAAAACCAAGCTGCTCTATCTTTTTACTTCATATATGCAATTGGAACTTATGTTGCATTTTTGTCTTAGAGTCATTCTCATCCTCCATTTCCTTCACTCTTGAACAGTAATACAGTTTGTGGTCTTCCTATAATCAACATCACCTTTTCTGAACATATATAGCCCACATTCTCCAACATGGGAAAATATACTTGTTACATATTTGACTTCTTTTAGGAATTCAAATATCTGATTGAAGCTCACTAACCTTCATCAAACACAGCAAAAAGTAGTACAAATTGGTGCAACATTGGTGTTCTTTCTTTGGAAAGACTTCCTGAAAAAGAAGTGACAGCATTTGTCTTCCATTTAAAATGCCATTGTAGAAAATTGCCACAAGGAGGAGCCATTTCTTCACAAACCATTTGAGCATTTAAAAAAAAAAAAAAAAAAAAAAGATTCCTTTGCCTAATGTCAACACTGCTGTGATGTTCTTTGGTGTAAAGTCCTTTAAATTGATGTTTCTAGAATGAAAATCATGGCTATTGAATAAAAAAGAAAATAAAAGGAAAAGAAAGGACATGATTGTTCCTTATGTATGTTGGAGGAGAAAGTTTATTAAAGATATGTGGGAAAACATAGTCAGAGGCAGGGAAACCTGGGAGAGTCCAGAATGGACATGACCAAACTGAGCTGAGCCATGTGGTACAGGGGGGAGGGGGACGTAGAGGAGAGAGTGGAACCAAGTGCATTAGCCAGGAAGCCAAAGGTCCAAAAGGTAAGGATAGCCAAAATGTCTGGATTATATAGGGAAGAACCTCTGGCAGGAAAGTTCTGGGCAAAGGGCGGTGTATGCAAGCCATATCCTGTAACAGGTAGAGACTGAGGGATACTGGGAGAACCTGGATGCCAGGTCCAGTTTGATAAGTTAAAAAGGTACCTCAGCCATTTGAATTGGGTTTGAAACTTAACAGTTATTTATGCAAGTTTCAAATTTCTTCTAAATCATTACTTTTGCAAAATTAAAAAAAAAACTATTGTTAGAAAATGGAATTTAAAATACAAAAATACAAGCCCAAATAAAACACATAGATAGATAGATGATAGACAGACAGACAGACAGACAGACAGACAAATAGACAAATAGATTTCACAGCAGAAAATTACAAAACAGTAAGCATTGTTAATGAGATGTGTATCTGGGCAATTAATATAGGAATCTTCTCTTGCTCTTGTAACTTTTATACTTATGTAATTGCAAATGAGTAAAAGTTATAGGTAAAAAAACAACAAAACTCACACTTTAAACATCTATCAATATTGTTTTTCAATTGTGCATATATGTTTGTGCATGTGTATGTGTGTGTGTGTGTGTGTGTGTGTGTGTGTGTGTGTGTGTGTGTATGTGTGTGCACATTTGTATGTGGGTACAGATATGTTGCTGTGCCTGGCTCTCTCCCCCATTCTCTTAACAGTATATTTCACAAAGCAAAAGTTATTTATTTTGACACAGCTCAGTTTATACATTCACATTTTTTCAATTTGTTGGCAGTTTCATACACGTATATAATGAATTAGTCATTTTTACCCACCACTCCCCTATCTCATCCTCTGTCTGCTACTGATTCCTTTCTTTCCAACAATTTCCCCCTCCCACTTTCATGTTTTCTTTTTGCTGTGACTTTTAATGGCTTTTTGGAGTCAGTTTTTGATCCCCTCTCTTTTCCCAAATAACTAGACTTTCTGTTATGTTTCTTAAAATTTTAAGGTATTGCATTTTACATTTTAAAACTTTAATCTGTTTTGAGTTAATATTTGTATAAGGAGTATGATTTAGGTTGTGATTCATTTTTGCATATGAATGTCCAGTTATTCTAACACCATTTGTAGAAGAAATTACCCTTTCTCCATTGATTGTATTTTACACCAAATCAGTTTTTTGTGGATCTACTGGCCTATCTATCCTGTTTCATTAACTTTTGAGGAATGTGTAATAATAGTTCAGCTGTACAATAAGTTATAAATTAGGGTAGTGATTAATAAACTCTATTCTTTTGTAAAATATGTTTGACTAATTTAGCAACTGACAGTCTAGAAATTTTAGACTAAATCTGTGTATATCAACAAAAGTTAAACTTGAAATCTGACTTGTATTACATTAAATGTGTACATTGGTGAGAACAGATATCTTTACCATGTTGAATTTTGTAGCCCACTGTTACAGTTTGCTTTCTATTGCTGTGATAAACACCATGACCAAAACTAAGTTAGGGAGTTCAGCTTACAGTTGTAGTCCATCACTGAAGAAAGTCAGGGAAGGAATTCAAGGTAGGAACCTTGAGGCAGGAACTGAAGCAGGCAGTATGAAAGAACACTGCTTACTGGCCTGCTCCCCATACTTTATCCAGCCTGCTTTCTCATAGCACCCAGAACCACCTGCCAGTGGTGATACCACTCACAATGGGCTGGGTTCTTTCATATCAATCATTAAGAAAATGCCCTACAGGCCAACCTTATGGAAGCATTTTCTTAACTGAGGTTCCCTCTCTCATATGACTGTTCATGTCAAGCTGACAAAAAAACTAATCAGTATATCATGAGTATAGTGTGTTTCTCCACTTAAGTCATCTTTGATTTCTTTCACCTGCATTTTGTAGTTTTAATTTACATGCAATTGTACATGCTTTGTTAAAAAAACAAGTTTTAAATGTTTGTGTGCAATTGTGTTCTTTTAAAAATTGTTTCTAATTATTCTTTGACAGTATGTTAAGTACAACTAATTTTTATATGTTGATCTTGAGTCCTGCAATCCTCCTAGACTTAGTTATTTATAGTTTTATTTAAAAGTTCTCAGGGATTTTTATACATAATCAATTATGTTTTATGTAAATAGGGACAATAATACTGCTATGTTTTTTAATCTTATGTTATCATAGGCAAGACTGCCAGTGCTGTATCAAATAAAAAGTCAAGAGAATCTTGTTCCAAGTCTTAATAGTGTGAAAGCATTTAGTTTTTCATCACTGAGAGATTAACTCTAGGGTGTTATTGATCTTTTAGAATTTTATTTTTGAGACAAGGCTCATGTACCTCAGGATGGCCTTGAATTTTCTATGTAACAAGGATGCTGTCAATTCCTGATTTGCCTGCCTCCAACTCCTAAATACTGAGCTTCTAGACATATACTACCACTCCTGGTTTAACCTGGAGGGTTTTGTTTTGTTTTGCTTTAAGATATCAGATTGAGAAGTACCTTTCTATTGCTAGTTGAGGGATTTTCTTTCCTTCCCTTCTCCTCTCCCTTCCTCCCTTTTTTTTAACCATAACTCATTGCTTGTTCTAGTTAACTTCTGTGATTAGCTCTGCCATAACCATTCACACACATGGTTTTGTTTGAATATGTTTTTCTGTTCTTTTGTGCTTATATTTAGAAATTATTAGATTATATGGTAATTCTGTTTGTAAAAATTTGAGGAAGCACCAAACCATCTTCTGAAGCAATGTTAGGGTTAAAATTCTCATATCCTCAACATTTACTACTTTTCTTATTTTTTAAAGATTTCATTTTTTAATTATGTGTACTTGTGTGTATATGTGTAATGCAGGTACCCACAGAGTCCAGAAGAGGGCACTGGATCCCTCCAGAGCTGGAGATTCCAGGGATTTGTGAGCTGCTTGACATATGTGCTGGGAACTCCTGAGTCATCTCTCCAGACTTTATCTTATTTTAAAAACGACAGATCCATATTAGTGGATGTGGAGTGCTGTGGATATCGCTCTGTATAAATAAAATGCTGATTGGCCAGTAGCCAGTCAAGAAGTATAGGCGGGACAAGCAGAGAATTCTGGGAACAGGAAGGCTGAGGCAGGAGATGCTGCCAGCCGCTGCCATGAGTAACAACATGTAAGATACTGGTAAGCCATGAGCCATGTGACAAGGTATAAATTTATAGAAATGGGTTAATTTAAGATAGAAGAATTAGATAACAAGAAGCCTGCCACGGCCATATAGTTTATATGCAATATAAGTCTCTGTGTGTTTATTTGGTTGGGTCTGAGCAGCTGTGGGACTGGCAGGTGAGAGAGATTTGTCCTGACCGGGGGCCAGGCAGGACTGGAGAAAACTCCAGCAACAGTGAAGTGATCTCTTATTTTTATTTTTATTTGCTTTTCCTTAATGGCTAATAGTATTAGTGTCTTTTGTGCACTTACTGGCCATTTCTATGTTTTCTGTTTCTTTTATTTATTTTTATTGTGGTGGGGATGTGAACTAGAGCCTTTCACATGTTAGGTAAAGGTTCTACCACTGAGCTAAATATCCAGGGACTATTTGCACCTTTTCTTTGGATACATATCCTTACAGATCTTTTACCTACTTTAAAACTGATTTGTCCTTTTATTATTGACTTTAAGATTTCCTTGCATAATCCAATTATAACTCACTTATCAAATATGATTTGCAAATATTTTCTCCCATTCTAAGCATTATTTTTGTTATTTTCTTGATACACCTTAAAGCTCAAAAGCTTGGTGGATTATTTAAAAAATGATTGCTAAACCTATAGCTATAAAATTTTGACTCTTGTGTTTTCTTTTTTTTTTTTTTTTTTGGTTTTTTCGAGACAGGGTTTCTCTGTGTAGCTTTGCGCCTTTCCTGGAGCTCACTTGGTAGCCCAGGCTGGCCTCGAACTCACAGAGATCCGCCTGCCTCTGCCTCCCGAGTGCTGGGATTAAAGGCGTGCGCCACCACGCCCGGCTTCTTTTAATTTTGTATGTTATAGTATATCTTTGATCCATTTTGAGTTAAATTTTGTATGTAATATGAGGAAAAGCCCAATTTCATTACTTGTTTTTCATGGGTATAGCCAAGTCTTCCAACATCGTGAAGAAGCTAGTGCCTACCAAATCAAATGACTATACATTTATGCGTTTATTTTTGAACTCTCATTTCTATTGCACAGATCTTTATATCTGTACTTATGGCAGTATTACTCTTTCTTGATTGTGTGTTCATAGTATTCCAATTTTCTTTATATCCATATTTGCTTAGTATGACTTTTTTCCATCCTTATGCTTGTAACCTATGCTATTGTTTTTGAAATGTATTTCTTGTAACAAAATATAAAAGTAGTCCTTGCTTTTTATATACAGTGTGATATTTTCTGGTTTTAGTATATTTAGATAATTTACATCTAATATAATAATTTATGTTTAGTTACAAATATATCATCTTTTTATATTTTTTCTTGTAGTTTTGTTCCACTGTCTCCTTTTATGCTTTATTTTAATGTCTTAATTTCTCTATTTTAACTTTATTATATATATTCATATAATATCTTATTGGTTTTTCTAAGTATCAAAAATGTATATTTAAGTTTTCACTGTCTTTTAGATAAGTATATGCCAGTTGGAGACAAATTCAAATTCTTTTGCATACCTTTATGGGTATGAGATCTTTCCTTTTTTCTTTATTTTTTGTGGTAAATATATACACAATTGAGTTTTATTCAGTAACAAAGAAAGAGAATAAAATTCTGTCATCAGCAAGAAGATGGATGCCACTGGAAATAAGCCAGACTCAGAAATGCAAATATTGCATGTTTTCTGTCTTTTGTGTCACATATATATGTATGTGTGTGTATATATATATATATATAATATATATATATAATATATATATATCACAATAATAATCATATACATATATGAAAGCAGAAGCAAAACTATCTGTGGGAGGAAAGGGAACTAGCAGGAGGAGATGGTGAAGGGAGAATGTATAGGGGTCTTTCTTTCTCATCCTTTTATTTTGTAGTTTTCTGAGCTAGAAAGCTCAGATATCTCTTTTTGGTTCCTTAACCAGAAGACGTCAACTGTTACATCTGTACCAGATCCTCTTCCTTTGATTTTAGCTCCTGTAGGCTTCTGTTGCCAGTCATTGTCTCTGCCATGGATATAGCTGGCGCTGGGGCATGAAAGAACGGAGGAAAGGAGTGGAAACTGTTATTTCTCCCTACCCTCTGAGCACTAACAGATACCTTTCCAGTTCCCAGAGGCACAGCATTCATTCCAAGTTTCAAGCCATGCTTTAATACAGGTTAGAGAATCCTACAAGGGAGAAAAAGGTTATGTCCCTATCATTGCTGGTCCTTTGAATTCTGGTGGTTTTCCTTATCTACAGGTTGTTTTACTTACTTTTAAAAATTTCAAAGAACTAGGTTGTAATTTTTGTCAAGTTTTTTTTTTTTTTTTTTTTTTTTGTCAAATCATTGAATTTGTCAAGGCTAAAGAGTAAAATGTGAGCCAGACAGTGGTGGTGCATGCCTTTAATCCCAGCATTTGAGAGGCAGAGCCAGGTGGATCTCTGTGAATTTGAGGCCAGTCTGGTCTACAAAGCAAGATCCAGGACAGGCATCAAAACTACACAGAGATACCTTGTCTCGAAACCCGACCCCCCAAAAAAGAGTAAAATGGGTTCACTCATGTTATCCAGAACTAGACCTCTAGTGATAATTTAAATCTGTCAAAAACTATATGTTATATATGTTACAATCTTTACATCACACAAGTAACACATTATGGGTCTTTGCTTTGTTATTAATTGTAGCTATAAAACTGAACTCAATATAAGAGAGATCAAGTTTCTAAATAAAGTAATTATAAACTTTAGTCTTCTTCCCCTCCTCTGAAACACATTCATTATTATTCAAAAATGGTGTGTTTCTGGATTCTTTGTCTATCCTCCATAACATAACAGAATGAGTATGTATGACACAACAGAATGAAACAGAATTAGAAATGTAATACATCTTCTGATGGACTCTTTCTTGAGACCATATAAAATGTCTGGATCCCTTGTATTACTTATGCTAAAGACATCATGTGGAGATGATCTCAGTTTAAGTATAGATGTAAGACATACAAAAGACATTTTTCAAGCATAGATATAAAACATATGAAATACTTTTGAGGTGATCTCAGCTCTGAAAACTTTTTTGACTAAAACTGATGTATCCATACACAAGACAACTCCAAATTCCATGGCACTAAAGAAAACTATCAGAAAGAACATATTATTATTGCTCCACAAAATTATGGAGTTATTGAGCAATAGATAACTAGAACAAAGAAGTTCCAATGAAGCTGACATTCCACACAAAATAATTAAAATCAAATTATAATGCTTACTTCTTTAAAAGTATACGCTATTAAATTATAAATTAAATAACAGATGAACAGGATTAAGATTATCTTTAGAATAACAAGTTATGAGTAAATGCATATTTTCTTATATTTGTGTATACCTTTGGTTTACAAAATAAGCACCTGAACCAATCAATATATCACTGATCTCACACACACACAAATATGCTTGTCTCCATGAAACTTAAGAAAATTCCACGTTTTCAAAAAGCAAAAGAATGAAAAAACACTGCTGAGATAGCACACAGATTTCAGGCGGAATATAGAAATTATTTATAAACAGAGACCTAATTCCAGATCTTAGATGTTCTTAAGCTAGAGTTCACTGTACTACATAGAACAAATATTATTGCTTAAAAAACTGGATTATTCTCTTTTTTATGAATATAATTCCAGGGAAAAGAAGCCCTTTTCAGAGAAATGAATTCAAAAGCTCACAGTTACCAACAGATTCTGTTTTGTCCTTCTTTGTTTCATATCAATTCCATTCTTTCATATAGTTACCTTCTTTACATACTAGCAGAGCTCCAATGAGGCCTGAATTCAAATCTTTCACCAGATCCACATGAGAAAGATATGAATAGGTGAGACATGGAGGGTCAGAGGCCATTGGACCATTCTCTTTCAGGACCTGCCAAACATAGGTATGACTTTCACCAGGAAAAACTTTATCGTCTTCCTTCTCCCTTTGGCTTGTCTGATCTTCATATTCAGCTCCTAAAGGAAGAAGGTATAAAACTGTCTTTTTTTTGTGTCTACTGTCAACTCAGAAACATGTTAAGCTCCAATTTGTTATGGATTCTACACAATAAGTAGACTTCCAAGATGTTGAAAGCTCTCACCATAAAGAAATGATAAAATGTTCAAGGAGATAGATATGTTCAAGTTGTTTTAAATATTGCACAATATGTGTCTATATTAAACATCATATATTATACCATTACTATGTACTATATGTATATGATAAAATAACAAGTTTTAAAGCACAGTGTATCAAAACATTACACTGTACCTCCAAAACATATGCAACTTGTTGTGGAATATTAGTTTAAGATGTTACATTCATTTATGCTGTGGAATATTTGTTTAATGATGCAAAGATGTATTGCATTCATTTATGTTGTATTTGTTTCACTCTGTGAAGCTGTGTTACTTTGTCTCCCTAAAATGCCTGATTGGTCTAATAAAGAGCTGAATGGCCAATAGCTAGGCAGAAAAGAGGGATAGGTGAGGCTGGCAGGCAGAGAGAATAAATAGGAGAATGGGAAGAGTGAGGAGTGAAAAAAGTAGGAGAGGAGGACACCACGGTCCAGCTATACAGGACACCGATAGCCATGAAGTAAAAAGGAAAGCAAGATATATAGAATGAAGAGAGATAAAAGCCCAGAGGCAAAATGTAGTTAAACGAAATGGGATCATTTAAGTTAGAAAAGCTGGCTAGAAACAAGGCAAGCTAAAGCTGGGTATTCATAAGTAAGAATAAGTCTCTGTGTATTTATTTGGGAACTGGGTGGTGGGCTCCCAAAAAGTTAAAAAAAAAACAGAACAAAAAAACACCAACTACAGCATCTATTATGTGTCAATAAAAATTCTCTTTATATAAAAAAAAAGTATTAGGATCTGACTTTGATGTCTCAAACTACTGTTTAAAAAAGGGAAGCTCAGCCAGGCAGTTGTAATACATGCTTTTAATAGCAGCACTCAGTAAGCAGAGGCAGGAGGATATCTGAGTTCAAGGCCAGTCTGGTCTACAGAGCAACTTCCAAGACAGCCAAGGCTCATAGAGAAATCCTGTCTCAAAAAACAAAACAAAGCCGGGCAGTGGTGGCGCATGCCTTTAATCCCAGCACTTGGGAGGCAGAGCCAGGCGGATCTCTGTGAGTTCGAGGCCAGCCTGGGCTACCAAGTGAGCTCCAGGAAAGGCGCAAAGCTACTCAGAGAAACCCTGTCTCGAAAAAACAAAAAAAAAAAAAAAAAAAAAAAAAAAAAAAAAAAAAAAAAGCAAACAAAAATAAGCAAAAAACAAAACAAAACAAAAAAGGTAGGCTGTCACAACCCACAACCACTGTGAATTCATATATGCAACAGCCTTCCTTGTTATCCACTGCCTCTGGCTCTTGCAAGCTTTTTGTTCTTTTTTTGTTCTGAAATGATCCCTGAGCATTGGGTAAAGGGGATGTTTATAGATGAGCATTCCATAGTCTCTCATCCTCTGCACCTTGACCAGTATGGGCCTCTGTGTTAGTAGATATCTACTAAATGAAGAAGCTTCACGAAAGATGCACCAATCTATGGGTATATCAATAAGTCATTAGGAGTAGGTTTAATACTATGCTTATTTAGCAGAATAGTGGTGGATTCTCTCCTAAGGACTACGACCTCTTTAGCACACACATACACTCACATGAACATGCATGCGCATGCACACACACACACACACACACACACACACACACAAAACTTTTTATAACTTCATTTGAAATATTAAAAAGGAGCAGCTATAAATGGGGAGAAACCTTGTATCTTACAGAGGTGCTTGATTACCAATCCTAACATAAGTAATGAAAATTATGTTCTTGTTGAGACCTCTAGATTCTGTTAACCAGTAATATTGCCGCCATTCTTGCATCTTTAGCCTAATTCAACTCAGTTCAATAACAAATATGCCCTGGACACATATATTAAAAATATCTGTTTTAGTTTTTTTTTAATTATTATTATTATTTTACAACACCATTCAGTTCAACATAATAGCCACAGATTCCCCTGTTCTCCCCCTCTCGCCCACCCCTCCCCCCAGCCCACCCCCCATTCCCACCTCCTCCAGATCAAGGTCCGTGTTTTAGTTTTTTGAGATGATAATTATATCATTCCCCTCTTCCCTTTCCTTCCTTCAAATCCTCCTATATATCCTTCCTTGCTATTTTTCAAATTCATGGCCTCCTTTTTCATGAATGCTATTACATACTAGGATGTGATAGAGAGGTTTTTAAAATCAGGTTTTTATTTAGAGGGACAACACTCTATTCGACAAATGACATAGAAATAATATACTGGCAAAAAATTAATTAATGGTTCTGGAGGAGGTTCATCAGATAAGAGTGCTTACTGTTCTCGCAGAAGACCTGGGTTCAGTTTTCAACACCCATATAGTAGCTTACTACTACAGATTACTCCAAATCCAAAGGATCCAATACCCTTTTCTGACCTCTGTGGGTTCCCATGTACACATGGTATACATGCATACACTCAGGCGCACAAGTATAAACAAAATAAATATCTTTAAATTTTCACTCATTTAACTTAAATATTTACTGAGTTTTTGTTCTTTATTAAGCTCATCTACAAGCTGAGAATATAAACAAGTTTATATTGTGGAGCACAGAGATTTTACATGTATATAGAAAAACTATTTCTTGTTTTTGTTGGCAACTAGCAGGCTCCTTCCATGAGGTTTATGCACTTGGGAGTTTCTACACTAATATAGGGAAACATTCAGAAGCATACAAATATATGTCTTTAAAGAGTCTCTTTAAATTTCATCTCTCATTAGGCATTACCAAAGGGTAGGAGGTTTCTTGATTATTTGGCCATATTAGTCTGAAAACTCCCAAGTTAAGGCCTTTCCATTTCAGAATGACAACTTAAAGAGTATATAATATAGAACATATGCATCAATAATTTATTGATGATTTCCTTGATTTGTAAATACTACAGACTATCTTGACAATACTGGAGTCAACTGACATTCCATTCACTCTTTTCCTACACTGTGAGGTTAAACAGAAGCTAGCTGGAGTGGGGGCCAGGGACCAATACATTATTTTAATGATCTCATCTTGATCTTCTGCTAAATGGCTCTTAGCAACATGAAAAGTACTTTCCTTATAAAAGTCAGAGTCTAAAGAAAAAATGAGAATTCCATTTCATTTCCATGCTATGAGATTTGATCTTCCTTTGAAAATTTTCTGGGCAGAGGAAGGCTAACACGATAGGATTTTTTGGACTCTCAGCCTGACTCCACAAGGGAGAACATAGAGGATTAGAATAAAAACAGCAACATGTTGTAGAATATTAGTTTAAGATGTGTTACATTCATTTATGCTGTGGAATATTTGTTAATGATGCAAAGATAAGTTGCATTCTTTTATGTTGCATTTGTTTAACTCTGTAAAGCTGTGTTACTTTGCTTGCCTAAAACACCTGATTGGTCTAATAAAGAGCTGAACGGCCTATAGCTAGGCAGGAGAGGGATAGGCGGGCTGCCAGGTAGAGAATAAAGAGGAGGAGAAATCTAGGGGAAAAAAGAGTGAGGAGTGAGAAAAAGAGAAGGAGAGGAGGGCATTAGGGTCCCGCTGCCCAGCCACACAGCCAGCCACTGAGTAAGAAAGAAAGATATATATATAATAAAGAAAGCTAAAAAGTCCAGAGGCAAAACATAGTTAAAAGGAAATGAGATAATTTAAGTTAGAAAAGCTGGCTAGAAACAAGCCAAGCTAAGGCCAGCATTCATAAGTAAGAACAAGTCTCTGTGTTTTTATTTGGGAGCTGGGTGGCAGGCTCTCAAAGAGTTAAAAAAAATTCTAACTACAGAAACATTATAGTAGTACTGGATGTTTAGCTTACACAATCTGCCCTGGTTAGTTTTCATTATCAGTTTGACCCAGAGTCACCTTTTGTTGTGATAAAATAGCATGAACAAAGGCAAGTTAAGTAAGAGTTTGTTTTGGCTTATGGTTCCAATGGGCTAAATATCAATAATTGAAGGGAAGACATTGACACATATATCTGGAGAAGGTAGTTGAGAGATCACATCTCAATTACACAAAGGAAGTAGAAAGAGCTAACTAGAGGTAGCAGTGATGGTATAAAGCCTCAAAGCCTATTCCCAGTGACATATTTCTTCCAGAAAGGCTCTATGTCCTAACAGTTCCATTACCTCCCCAATCATCACCAATTGGTGATCAAGTGTTCACATACATGAGACTATGGGGGACATTTCTCATTCAAACCATTATAATGTCCATTTGGGGGTCACAAGGAATCCATGAAGAAGTAAGAACTTCACTTTATCCTAAAAGTTACAGGGTTATCTTGTAATAATAGATCCTTTCTCAAAAACTTTGAAGTCCTAAAGGAAGGAATTTCTTTCTTTGTCCTAGCTTAGTTAGGTAAGATACTCATCTCTAGGCCAATTAACTGTGGCCAAGAAGATGGGATACATGGATCAACTGCTTATCTCTAGACCAATCACTGTGACCATGGAGATTTGGGCTTTAAAAAAGTGGCATATTCTGTTTGAAATATATTTAGAAGGGGCATTTTTTTTAAAAAAAATACAGGGTCTTACTTTATAGCTCAGGTTGGCCTATAATTTATAGTGATCTGGCTCAGCCTCAAGAGTGCTGAGATTAGAGGATTAGAGGTATGTACCATCAAGCTTTATTAGAAATACTTTGTCGCTTCTCTGCTCCCAATATTAAGAATACAACATGTGCTAGACAAGAGCTAGACAGTATCAGTGATCTATATCTCTGCTCCCATAAGAAGTAATTCTAATGGAACATATATATTATTAGGAAGAAAAAGCAAATGGTATTTTCTACACCTTTGTTTTACACAGAGCAATGGCTGTATGCTAGGTATTAAGTTATATGCTAGGGAAACAACAAATGTATACAATGAGTCTATCTTGAAATATTTATATTCTAGTAACTTTGAGATACAAATGATAGAACTAACATCAAAGACTGTGAATGCTAGAGGCGGCAATTGAAGATCACTTTGTTTCTTTGTTTCTTGAGTCTTTGCTTTTCTTGGGAACTATTTATAGAAGTTTATATTAATGAAACTCTCTTTCTTGTGTGACAAGACCTTTTCATAGGCAGATTAAATAAGGCTGATGTTCTCCCTCCCTTTATATCTCTTCCATATTGCTCAACATCAAGACATATCGTCATTATCATCATCTCCATCTGTAAAAATCACGTAAGTTTTCAGTGGCTATCTTTGTCATAATGTTAAAGAAGTTTGCCCAAGAATGAAACCAAAAAGAAGGAATACAGAGGAGAAATTGTGAGAAAAATGATGCTGAAGGCGTAAATGAATCCTTGGTCCCAGTCATACCTAGTTCACTTCATGGAACTTTCCAATTATACAAACAAAATTCAACATTATCTATACAAATCTTTGCACTGTAGAACAGTGGTTCATAGAATGTTTTAGGGTTGGATAGGCCTAGTTGTGGACCTGTTTCCACCACTGGCAAGCATATGGCCTTGAACCCAGTCCGTATAAGTAATTACTGCTGCTATTGTTATTAAATTTCAATACATTTATATCCAAGAGAATTGATACAATTCCAAGTGTGATATTGTTATGGTTTAGACATGTCCCTCAAAGTTTCTTGTGCTGGATACTTGGTCCCAATGTAATAGTATTGAGGCATTTAAGAAGGACAGGTTAATTTTGGCTCACTGTTTCAGATGTTTTACATCTATCATCACTTCTTATACTATATGACATGGAGCTGTCACAATAGCTGATGCTCTTAGAACTTAGAACTATTAATTATATAATCCTCTTACCTTGTAAGCTGTTAAGCTAAGTGTTTTATTTTATAGAAATTCAAAGTGGAGTAACATGCCCTTATTACCAATAATATGCTTCTCAGCTTTCTACAACTAGAAAGACAGAACAATAGGAGAGAATTTAACTTACCCTCAGAAGCTTTCCAGTAGGAAACACCAACAGCATGAAGACTGACAGGATGAGAAGCCATGTTTTTAAGTGTAATAACCACAGTGTCATGAACCTCAGTCCAAATGGTAGGACCCAGCAGACCTGTTAAAATGAGATGTCCCTCAAAAGTTACTTGAAGGATAACATACCAGAAAGCCTGTCATTATAAAAGTGAAGGTTAAAGTCACAGAGGAAAAGCATGTTACTTTAAAACTGATGAATAGCAGTTATGCTTTGCACTAACCCTAGTTCAGCCTCAGGGTTGTTCTGAGAAAATATTTCTAAGTCATTCAGTGTTTCATTAATTCAACTATCTAGAACAACATTAAAAGCAAATAAAACAAATGCTAAAGTCTTGATGCAAAAATAAATTTGGCATAGTTGAATAATATGGGTGAAATAATGTGAATGGCCAGCAGAATAATAATAAATAAGATTATAGATATATACAGGGAACATAATATGTAGGACCTTATGGGAGAGAGAGAGGGAGGGAGGGTGGGAGGGAAGGAAGGAACAGAGGGAGGAAAAACAAAGAGAGATCATAGGTGATTCTTATGATTGAATTTAGATTATGACAGATAGTTCATAACACAGAAATCAAGAGGAAATTAAGAGTTATAGTCTGTGGATATTTTTATAAGATGCCTATAAATGATTTATTGAATGAACTGGAGTCAGTGGCATGAAAATATGAAATAGGTTTTGCTGTGGATATTGTTCTATATCTAAATAAAACACTGATGGCCAGTTGCCAGGCAGGAAGTAGGTGGGACAAGGAGAGAGGAGAATTCTGGGAAGCGGAAGGCTGAGGGGAGAGACACTGCAGCCACCGCCAGGATAAGCAGCATGTGAAGATGCTGGGAAGCCACCAGCCACGTG